AGACTGGAGTGATGATGGTGAAAATTCAGCTTTGACATCACATAAATAAATTACATTTTAAAATATATTACGGTAGAAAATGTTTGTTTTAAATTATAATAATATTTCACACATTTTCTGTTTTTACTGTATTTTTATTCATATAAATGCAGCCTTGATGAGCATAAAGGACTTCTTTTAAAACATTTTAAAAATGACTTTGAACAATAATGTATATGTATTCAGCATTGGTAGAGCTGATTTTACTTTGGATTGGAAATCAAGTGGTGACTCAAAATAGTACCAGACTTGCTTGTTGTGCAAAATTAAATATAAATATCATTATAATAAAGCATTCAAGTTATTCAAATTAACATGAACTCATCAAGCTTAACAATATAAAGATACTAAACAGTGCAACATTGATCATTTGAGGTTTTGAATCTTGAATTTTGATGGTCTCCCTGCTCTTGGTAGCTTATATTTTACTGCAAGTGAGGCTGAAATAAGGATTGTGTGGGGGTTGCCATTTTTTATTTTACTTTGCACAGTTCTGTTCATAGTTTTTAGATTTAGGGCATGAAAACTGAAACTTGAATGGCCACATTTTCTATAGTAACACTGAGATTAGTCAGATTTGCTGAGACATTATAGATGCAGCTCTGACCAGTTAATCAAACACTGTTGTGTGGACCAGAGTTGGGTCAGGAAAAAAAAAAAAACCTACATGGGCTCTACTTCTTGAAACTGAATAACAGAGGTAGAGCCCTCCAGCAGACTAATTGCAATGTTTCTCTGCTTTTAGCTGCCAAGGCATTTATGTGCATTTTTATATAATACCAACCAGTTTATGTTGATGAAAGTTGACTCGCGAGGAGATTTCACGTCTAGAAATATGTGTGAGTTGCCCTCTGGGTGTTCAGGCTGAATGGACCCAAATTCATTTAGAGGTGTGAGAAGACCATCAGCACATTTTCAAACACGTACAAAAGAAATTGCAATGGTTAGATACTCACAAACAGCCATCAGACTGTGTTGGTTGTTCATGTTAAATGATATTTCACAGCAGACAATGCACTGCGGATTTTTTTCAAACGCATCTTTGGCTAATTAGACTGCATTTGGAATGTAATAACTGGAGCTAATCAGCCGCTGTTGTGTAGCAGGCATTCAGAAATGTTTCCTTGCGAGCGAGAAGCATTGTTAACCTGAGTTCACCATGGCAACAGTGGCTCTGGTGGCAGAAGCTCAGGTGTGTGTGACTGTGTGATACTGGGCTTTGAGAACAATCAATGAAACTCAAACCTCTAACCTATTGACAAAACAGACAATAGTCAATTTGATATGCCTATTTTCACTATATTTACATATCTTTTATTAATAAGAAAGACCCAACTCTCTTCATTCTTTATAAGCTTGAGAGCAAATGAGTCTGTCAAATTATTCCCAAAGGAATATACACTTCTTGCATTTTGTCTTGTTTCGTTGGCAGTTTTTATTTAATTTTATTTGTTTAAAGGGGTGGTTCATTGCGATTTCACTTTTTTAATGTTAGTTAGTGTGTAATGTTGCTGTTTGAGCATAAACAATATCTGCAAAGTTACGAAGCTGAAAGTTCAATGCAAACACAGATATCGTCTTTTAAAATTCTGGCAGTTTAATGCCTACAAAAACGTCTGGTAGGGACTACAACACGTTACTTCCTGGGTTTGTGACATCACAAACCCAGATAAACCCCGCCCACGGGAACATGCAATGAAGGGGGCGAGGCCATGCTGCGCTGCTTTAGAGAAGAGGAAGAGAAAACTAGAGGTGCATGT